TCTGATTTTTTTTAGTTCCTCTCACCTGTTCTGATTATATTTCCTTTATTTGGCTTTCTATGTTCTATCACCAAATTCTGTCAAATATGTCCATGTTAACAATAGAAAAACAAAAAACAACTCGACCATAGTAAAGGTATCACATACCAAACCCAAATCCTCAGCCCCCCAATTTCTGCTAACACGAATATTCCAGTATTTATCCAATTACCAAACCGATTCCACGAAAGCACCACTGCATGCTGCTCATCAGGGCTCAGAAACATCATCATTGCAACTCCAAGTTCTTAACAGATGTAATGTAATTCTCTGGTATTTATTTGATGTTAGGTAATGCAAATTTTCAAGAACAAAGGTTAAGTGACTTACTTGATTTTATTTTTCAATCACCCAGAGATAATAAAGTACAAATGAGACGGTATCAAACAAAAACACCCAGAAGCAGCTTCCAGAGGACTTTTGCTAAAAGAAGTTTCCTCTCCTGCACCATACTTGGACTATCCGTGTAAAATTCATAAGGTTTTTAGGAAATATTTTTCATTAATAATTTTTCTTAAGTATGACAAAGCTTTATATCAGATGTTCCTTTCAGCTCCATGAAATCAACAAAAGCCATCATACTATCTTAAAACTCTTAAATAACGCATTTTCAGTAAATTATTAAAATACTTCTATGCGAAATGGTTGGAGCTCTATCGATGGCAGCTGAAAGTTTACTGGCCTGATTTATAAGTTTTCTAAAAAGTGCTTTTCATCTCAGTAAATACAGGTTTTACAACAATCACAACCACAAATCTGAACTGTTGTATTAGAGTCCTATAAAAACTGTAATTTGAAGTCCTAGTAAATACTTTATGCTTTAAACTGTATAGTATATTGGTCCTTCACAAAGGCTTTTTACTTTGCTTTATCAAATACCGACAAAAAAGCCCTGAAAGTTATTTCAGTTTTTGGAAATTGATTCACGTTTATATTTTTATTGAAATAACCAAGTTGCTTCTCACTGTACAAATATAAATTGTTCTAGGTTTGTATCCTGCATGGTATAAAAAGATATTCTGCACTGTAGTCTAATATTATTACTTTTTTTTCTTCTCTCAAAGATTCAAAATACTCTCAGTTACATCTAAAAAAGACAAGTCTTATCCAAACACTTTTAACAAAATACTTCATGAAACTAATTAAAATTTAGAGTAATTTACCTTATTAAATTAATTGTTAAACTTAAAAATATCAATATCATACACTACTGACCCAAGTATTATAGTGCAAAAACTAAGAAAGAAACCCCAGTAAGAACTATTTAAAGATCCTCTACTTAAAAGCAGCAGCAAGTACAAAGTTGGGAGACAGGAAGCTCCGCCCTCCCCCAAGCTGCACAGGGACGCCCTTCCCTGTAGAGCAGGGGACACACTGGGTGTTTCCAGGACTGAGGCCCAACAGAGCAGGGAGACTTTTGGCTCCTCCCACGCCGCCACACTCACAGGACGTGGGTGCCCTGCTGCTCAGATCTTGCAACTCCCAAACCGCAAGCTCAATACACTCCTGTGCTTTACAAAGCACCCAGGCTTGGAGACTTTGTGAGGGCCACACAGAGAGGACTGAGGCCGGCTGAGGAGCAGCCTTGGTCACGGCAAGCACGTGCGGCAGCCCCGGTCTCCGCTGCACTGTCATTTACAGTCACTGATACGCTCCATTCCGACTTCAGCTAACTGGAACAATGGGATTTGCAGTTACTTTTTGAAAGTAAACAACACCCAGAAAGGGAGATTTTCTACAGAGCATCATCTCAGGAGGGAAGGCCATGATGAAGAGTTTTCCACAGCGATGTTGCTAAATTTAAGCCACACGCCACCAAGTCCGTATTTCCCTGCGAGAAGGCTCAGGCACCATGGGCACGAGCACCCCAGTCAGCCTACTCTGCTGCAGCAACAGCAGAGCAGTTGCCACACCACAGAAGCCCAAAGGAGCACGCATACATTAAGTGAATTCTCCTCATATCACAACACGCCGTGTTCCCCCAAACCCTCCAGCCAGGCCGGGCTGCCAGCCTTCCTCCCCTCAGCACATCTCACACACGGCACTGGATCCTCCATCTCCCACTACACTCTGCACGCCCTCTCCACACGCACCGTGACACAGGTGCTCACTCAAGCCTCCCGTCTGCCTCCGTGCTGGGCAACGAGCCGCGGTCCAGCTCACTGAAATCTCCCCAGCACCCGGCGTGCTGCCTGGCCGGGGAAGGTGATGGACAAGTGACCGTGGAAGGTGTTGACTACATGAATGGGTGAATAAATAACTAGGCCCTCTGCCTGTGTAACAGACCTGCCAAAAGTACAACAGGACTTTGGATTCTTTTAAAAGCACATTAGACAGAGAAATCCTTGTGTTATTCTAAGAGCAAATATTTGCACAAATACAAGTGATACAAATAGAGATCACACGACAGGAGCACAAGCTGGCCACTTTCATCTGCCCAAGCATGGACACTGGCAAGCATGGAGACTCCCAGGTCTTCTTTCCTTGCTGCTACTACCTCCAGCAAAGGGGTGCCCTTGTTCTGTGGCATCGCAGGGGACAGGGAAGAAAGCCCAACCAAAAGGGACAGTGCTCAAATTCTCACCCATCCTCCCTCCCAGGGCTCACTTTTACAGCTCCCGTCAAACAAGCATGTTTGCAATCGGTCTGTTAAATACACAAAGGGCTCACTCATAACGGAATGCGACTCCAGAGCAGAAGGGGCAACAGGGCCAACTGATGGGCAGGAATGGCGGGACAAAGCCAGCTACAGACACCAGCTTGCGAGGGACCAGGCAAAGGGCGGGCTAAGGCTCTAGGTTCACGTAGGGCAGAAGAGGTAGGTCAATTAGCTCTTCACTGCCCAGTCTGTTACTCCACACTTCACAGACCCTTCAGGTAGACACAGAAAGGTAAGTAAGGTCAGAACAGCACCAGTCGGTGACCAGCCCACCCATCTTCTACCCATCTTCCTTGGCCAGGGACAGGAGACTCTGGCTCTGCCTATCAGATTCATCTCTCCCTTTAGGAGAGATGGGAGGGGCTGGGGTTAAGTCACTCCACAGCGCCTTTGAAGGAATATGGACATTCTGGCCTGCTGATACTCTAGCTTTCTTCTGTCACGAAGCTTGGTTACTCAACCATTTCCTACCAGTCCTATACTGTGATGATTTTTCCATTTTTATTTTTTAAGCCAGCATTTCTGTTGCTTAAAATTTTATCTATCATCTGAGTCAACATGGCTCTTGCCTAGAGTCCATTTACTCAGTTGACAAATGACTAACAGGAGGCCCTGGGGATATATTTGTCCCATATTTTTACAAAAGAAACGGGTCAGGACCAAAGCTCAATTTCACCTACTCTTAGTACTATGGGCAACGTGTTTAAATAGACAGACAACTAACAGAAACGCTGAATAATCTAAACAGCTTGCAGTAAAATCGAGATATAAAGGTGAAACACGAAAGGCCACAATGGGAGGACTGGAACGTACAGAAGGGACAAGAACTGCTGATCTCCAAGGTCGCAGACTTTTATATTCCATTACAAAGTGATGGTTGAGTCATGTAACCAGATTCCTTTAACGTTCAAGTGCCGGCCGTCCTATGATTTTAAAAAAGGAACTATAAAGACACAGACCCAAAGAAAGAAAAGGAAGATAGACATCAGTGAAGAGACAACACTGGAATGACTATGTCTAAATATCTTAATACTTCTGGTGGCCATAGCATGCTTAAAAATCATGTCATGGTTTCCTTCTTCACCAAACATTTTGGAACTATAAAATTTTCTTGACCTTTCAGGATTTTGTTGCTATTTTTTATCCTTAGCACTTTTGTATAGCTGGGTTTCCTTTGTTTTCCTTTTTTTAAAAAAATGCCCTTTCCACTCTATAAATGTTAGTTTATTTTTATTTTCTAGCCAAACGGTCCAAAAAGTATTAATCGTCTCTCCCTTTTCCCTTGGTACTTTCTTACCTACTCCTGCCCTCAATACCACAGGCCGATCTTTTAACTGACGTAGACACCGTCGTTCTCTGACCCCACTGTGGAGTAACGGGGGCCCTTCAGAGAAGAGCCTGCCTGTGAAAGCAGTTTGAGAGTACCACGCTGCTTTCCAGAGCCACTTTTCTCCCTAAAGCCAGTAGAAAAGGGAATCAAGGCTGACTATTCCAGACTGCCCGAACTCTGTGGTGCTAAACATGTACACCCTGCCTCACATGAAACATTACATTCATTTGTAATTATTTCATAGAAAAAGGAAACTGTATTACACATTAAAGAATTTATTTGACTGAAATAAAAACTGTCAAGTGTAGTATGTAAACTATACCAATCAGAATGAAAACTTGGATCTTCTCCACACTTACATATCAGAAAGAAATAATAAAGGTATTTTACTCACTTTAAGCATATGAAAATTAACAGATACAGTGGGCTTCTTAAATCAGTTGGCTCTGTTTGCTTCTCCCCTTTCTAACTGTCACATATATTCACTCCCATGAATATGTATGTTGTATGTAAATACCTATTGAATTGGGTTAACAGAAATGACAAATCTCTGTGAAGTTTATACCAAGATGTAACATAAAATCTCTTCATGACAAAGAACATCTTGTATCTTTAACTGTAACTACTGCACCTTGATAAATCTGCTAACAGCTTTGTGTGCTAACACCCTGGATCTTAACAGGAGAGACATTAGCCCACCCCTTCCCTGACACAGGCTGCAGCATCTGAGATACTGTGTGGTGTTAATCACCATGGAGAGCAGAGAGAGGGAAGGGCTCTGGCATCAGGCCAGGGGTGCTTCTGAAGAGGCCACCACGCACAACAGAGCCCTGCACAACAGGCATCTAGGCTGGGAAGGTCGAAAAGCTCCATCAACATGAAAGTGGTCCTCCAGAAAAGAGAGCAGCCCATCAGGAGTCACTGGGAGCTGCTGTTTGCCGTGGCCCGCCCAAGCTGGCCAGATCCACCTACCTTGGACGCCTGGGGTGTGGATATCACGTGGACAGTGCTAGGTTTGACGCCATTTGCCTTGGGACGCTTATGGAGAGCAAACCGGCTTTTCCTCCGTCCTCTGTCTCCACTAGGTAAAGCTCCATTGTACCTTAGAAGAAAGAGATGAATGAGCCCACTTATTTGCAGATTTTAAGTTTTAAGCATGACACTTAGATGCACTAAGGTAGGACAAGAATGACCATGAAGATCTGCCCACTAAAACACCCTATCAAAGGCACGGGTTGTAAAGCACACTTCAGCTGTAGTGAAATTCAAATCACTTCCAGAAACTTAATAGTGATGCACAAGTAATTACAGGTTTCTGATTCTATAAAGCCGGAGTCCTCAAATCTTTTTAGAAAGAGACAGAGTATAAACAAGCAAATGAGTATTCCACAGAGGCCGTGTCAGCTCTGGCTCAATTCAGCCAGAGCCATTCTAACGGACCTCAGAGAAACACTTGAGAACTATTGTCAATGAACTAGCTGGAAAGCAACATACTAATCCAATTTCATCTCTCACTCTCAAATCATGTTAATGTCATGTATAAGATCTTTATTGGTAAGAAGACCAAATTTATTTCCTTGCATCCTGAATGGCTCTGAATTCTCTATATCCATTCTCACTCTGAACCCTACACTGCTGGGTTAGCGAACTACAGCTTGCACAAATTATGTATGAGTTTTCATCCACAAGCTGTCTTTTAAAAGCCCTTTAAAAGTCACCAGGAAAATGTACAATGTACTGAAGCTGATTCCTTATCGCGCTAATACAATACTGAAGCTGATTCCTTGTCGCAAGCTAATACAAGAGTTTAAGAATTCAGGTAACAGTTCGATGTTTTACACGTGCTAATTCTGTGTTAACCTGTCCCTGAACGTTCTGAGCCCTGTCCCACACTGCCACACCGACATGGCTATTCTTGCCTACACCCTGACAGAAGCTCCTTTCAAAAAAAAAAAAACCCAAAGGCAAAGGAATCATTTAAAATGTATATGGATAATTGTGGCTGCTGTGAGGCTCCCTGAAAACACCAAAGTCTGGCTGCAGGTCTAGAGGCTTGTCCTCACGCTGAGGATCTGGTCCAGCTCACCTGGGCCTCCTCTGATTTTCCAGCTCCACCAGAGAGAGGAATACAGTCACAAGGGCAGGGAAGCTGGGATGTGCGGCCTGCGGGGAACTACAGAACCCGGAAAGCAGGGCCGGGGCGGGAATGGGACGAGGGCTGAGCCTGGAGCTGCAGTCCGACAAGGGTTTTCCATCAACACCAGAACTTATTCCCACTGTGTTTGTAATCTGTTGCCATCACAAAGGAATTTCAGCTATATAAAGATGTCTCTAGAGTAAAGAGATCATTTTATTTCGTCTTACTTTTTTCTCAAGCAAGATCAGAAAAGTATACATTATTTTCTTAAATGCATTTATGATCACTACTGTCAAGCATCCACGAGTAAACAACCATCATGAACCTACTTTGCTCTGCGATATTTCACATCGTTCGGCTCAAGAGATATTCTAATATTAAGGGCAACACGGGAAGTCAGTAAAGCCAGGATGGTACCCAAGGTGGAGCACACTTTCACTTTGAGCATGACGAGTAGGTAGCGATCAGGACTCCAGGCTCCGCCGAGGCTTGCTGTGCCCCTCGCTGTGATGCAGGCTTGCCACACCCTCCCTCAGCCCCACTTCTGCTTATGGGGACTGGGTCCAGGGAGAGTGCAGTGGGTGCAGGCCAGCGGCTCACAACAGCTCGCCTTCTACAGAGTCCATCCTCGAACTCGAACTCCCACGGCAAGCCGGGCTCGGCAGCCTCCCTGCCACCCTGGAGCTGCCCTGAGAGAGGTGCACACGCAGCCCACACTGACCAAGGACAGTCACCCTGGGATGTACAAAACGGACAGAAGCAGAGAAGGTGCAGAATGAAGCAGAGGAACAGGACACAAGCAGCACAAAGGCAGGCAGGATCTGTCAGGGTTTCTCATCCCTCGTTTGTGAAATTCTTTTTAGTTTCAGCTCAACCAGGCTGGTTTCCGCTATTTACAATCCCAAAGCCTCAACATAGTGGGGACGGGGTGTGTAAGGAATGTCAACCCTAGCACACACTGACCCCTGTGTGAGGTAGAATGACAGAAGAAAAGAACATAAAGAAGAGAGAAAAAATGATAAAAGAAGAAATCTGAGTTAGGGCAGGAGCAGAAACACAAAGGGAGATGAGGGGTAATATGGTGGAGCAAGAGACTGAGTTGGAGAAAGAGGACAGAAAAAAGAATTTGCAGAGTGGAATGAGGAAAAGAAAGAAAAAAATTGATTTGAAGGGCCTCTTTTAGACTATATCTCTGCTGTCATAACATACAACATGCACAGCCATGTGCAGAACCAAGACCCCTGATCTCAGCTAGCTGATGGCAGAACCCTACGACACAGGCTGACCTCAGGCTGCAAGGCCCAGATTGAGTTCCTCAACCTCCTGAATGGTTGAACTCCACACAGTTCTGCTACAGGTTTCCCAAGCCCTTTCTTTGAAGATGTTCAAAGTTGGGAACTCAGAAAAATACCGTTTATGATCACCTCTGCCTCTGCAGAGTGGGTCCAAAGACTGGCACAATCAGGAGGTCTGAGAGTGTGGTGGGGGGGTGTTGGAGGAGTGGGGTGGGGAGGTTGAGGGGCGCAAGCCTGGCTTACCTTCCTGGCGCTGGAGCGATGGTGACGGTAGGGAAGGGGAGGGCGAGGCTACCAGTCCCGCGGTCTGGACCCAAGCAGGCCCTCCTGGCGCTGGAGCGATGGCAGCGGCGGCGGGTAGAGGAGTGCGTGGCTACCCTTCTCGAGGTCTGGGCCCAAGAAGGCCCTTCAGACACTGGAGTTATGGTGGTGGTGGGCAGAGGAGGGCGTGGCCACCCTTCCCGAGGTCTGGTCCCAAGCAAGACCTCCGGTGTCTGGAGCGATGGCGGCAGCCCGGCAGGGGAAGGCGTGGCTACCCAGGAAGGCGTAGCTACCCTTTTAGAGGTCTGGGCCCAAGCAGGCCCTCCAAGCGCTGGAGCTATGGCGGCGGCCCGGCAGGGGAGGGCGTGGCTACCCTTCCCGAGGTCTGGTCCCAAGCAAGACTTCCGGTGTCTGGAGCGATGGCGGCAGCCCGGCAGGGGAGGGCGTGGCTACACGGAAGGGCGAGGCTACCCTTCCCGAGGTCTGGGCCTAAGAAGGCCCTCCTGGCCCTCTCTATGTATAAATTCTTAGCGCCCATTAATTTTACAAAAAACTGGACTTCTAAGTGCATATTCTTCCTATCATATCCATCCCCTGCATCCCACTCACATTCGTTATACTCCCTTCTCCTTGTATAACTACAGTGTCCCTTCTGATTTCATGTAGTCTTCTTTTGATTATGTACTTTAGAGAGAACATGTCATATTTGTCTTTCTGAGTTGTTTATTTTGCTCTACATGGACATCCGCAATTCCGCCCATTTTCTGCAGATGACAAAATTTGTTCTTCTTTCCAGGTGAATGATCTCTACTGTGCATACACACCACATTTCCTTTCTCTATTCCTCTGTTGATGGGCACCTAGTCTGGTCCCATACCTGGACTATTGTGAACTGGTATTCCTACGGAACTCGGACTTTTTTATTTGCTTGGCTAGACACCGAGGAGTGGTGTAACTAGATCAGATGCTCTATTTTTACTTTTTGGGGAAACTCATGCTGATTTCCACAGTGGCTGTTCTAATTTACACTCCCAGCAGAAGCGTAGAAGAGTTCCTGTTGCCCCACATCCTTGCTAGCATTTATTGTTCTTTGTATTCTTTGTGTCAGTCATTTTGATTGGGGTAAGATGGAATCTCAGTGTTCTTCCTATTTGAATTGTCCTAATGGGTAAAAGACACTAAAATTTTGTGACATAATTTATTGTTCAGTTCATTTCTTGATTTACTGAGGGCTGTTGGATTTTTAGTGCTAAGATATTTTAGTTCTTATATATTCAAGATACTAATCTGTCAGAAGAGCAGCTGGCAAAGATTTTTCTCCCATTCTGTGGGCTGCCTCTCAAGCAGATCTTTGATTAACTGCTTCTTGGAATTTTTTCTCAGTTTCATTAATTTTAGCTCTAGTTTTTATAACTTCCTTGTGCTAGCTTTAGATTTGAACAGTTCTTGTTTTTCTAGGATTTTTAAGGTGCATCAGTAGGATATTATTTGGGCTTTTTCTGTTTTTCTGAAGCAGGCATTCACAGCAATAAGCTTCCCTCTTAGGGTCACTGTCATCCTGTACCATGTGTTATGATATGTTGTACGGACATTACCATTTGATTCTAGGAACTAATCGCTTCCTTGATTGCTTCTGTGACCTATTGATCATTCAAGAGTGTGCTAATCTCCAGGTGTTTGCAAAATTTCTGTGGTTTCTTTTGCCATTGATTTCTAGTTTCAGTGCCTATGATCTAATAATATAGAAGGAATAAGGGCAGGGGATTTAGCTCAGTGGTTCTACCACCAGCTTTGCAAGTGCACGGTCCCGAGTTCAATCCCCAGTACCAAACATTAAAAAAAAAAAAAAGAAAATATACAAGGAATAATTTTGATTCTTTTGTATTTATTTAAAAAAGTTTTATGGGGTAGTATATGGTCTATTTTGGAGAAAGTTTTGTGTGCTGCTGAGAATAATGTGTGTTCTTTTGTAGTAGGTTGGAACACTCTGCCCATATCTATTAAGTTTATTTGTTCAAAGGTAGAGTTCAAGTCTTTCTTCATTATTTTTGTTGTCTAGTTGATCTATCTGTTTGTGAAAGAGGGATAGTTAGATATTTAGCGATGATGTTTATTGATCTTTTATGTTCAGTAGTGTTTGTTGTATGAAGCTGGATGTTCAGGTATTTGGTGTATGTATATTTACAACTGTTACCTTATTCTTTCAAATTTTTCTCTCAACTAATATTTAGTGACCTCCTTTGCTTCTTTGGATCAGTTTTGGGTAGAAGCCCACTCTGTCTGAAAACAGAATAGCTGCTCCTTTCAGCTTACAGACTTTTGGTAAATGGAATATTGTTTTCCATCCTTTGACTTTTTTTTAATCTATGAATTTCTTTGTGGATTAAATGTGTCTTTTATATGCAGCATACAATTAAGTTTTCTTTTTTGATCCACACTGCTGATCTGTGTTTTTGGATGGGGGAGTTGAGGTCATTTTCATTGAGAGTTATTACTGAAAGGTATTAACTGATTTCTTTCATTGCATTATGTTTCTGTTGTTGATTCCTTTCTTTCTGCCCCTTTATTTAACTGCTCACCCTGCTGATGTGTTATTCCATCAGACATTTTGTCACTGTAGACTTCATCATTTCTGTCTAGAATATCCTTGAGCAATTTTTATAGTACTGGTATAGTGGTCATGGCATTTCTTAGGGTGTTTTTTTTTTCATGAAATGTCCTTCATCAGCCTTGAAAAATAGTTTTGCAGGATAGGGTTGGGAGTCTTTCTTCTAGGCCTTGAAACACTTCATTCCAAGCTCTCCTCACCTTTACGATCTGTGTTGAGAAATTTGCTGTAATCCTAATGGGTTTACCTTTACAAGTAACTGGGGTTTTGTCTCACAGTTTTTAAGATTCTGCCTTTTTGTTGCATTTCTGGGATTTTTAACTATGATGTGCTATAGAGAAAAATCTTCTCTGGTCATGTCTACTTGGGGCTCTATATGTGTGATTTACTTGCTCTTTGAATTCTTTTCCCATACTTGGAAAGTTTTCTGCAAGCATATTTTTAAAAATTCCATGCATGCTCTTTTCTGATTTTTTTAAACTGAAATTATTTATCATCTTGTAGACACTGGTGTCTTGTTTATAAGTTATCTCTGAATATATGCTCACAAGCATCAGACCTATCTTCTAGTTCTGACATTATCTTCTCACATGGTCACTTCTGCTGCCCATTATTTCAATAAAGTTCTTTCACAGATTTCTTTTGGACTGAAATTCTTTGCTAAGTTTGTCATTCATGTTTTGAATTATTTTGGCTGGCTCTTCAAAATGTTGTTTGAATTCTCTTTAAGCTTGATGACCAATTTGATTATTAAGTCTGCTATATGTTTAGTTATATCATTTTTACCTTGCTGGGTTTCTTCTTTGATTATTTCATGCAATTGAATCATTTGGTATTTGATTTCCTCTCCATCAATGCCCCTTGGATCTGTTTTTGAGGAGCTGGGGGTTTTGAGAGTCTTTTGTTGTCTTGTTTTCTCATGCTATTTCTTCTCCTCCTTCTCCTCCTCCTCCTT